GTCTAATTTTTCTTAGTAGTGTATGAAGAAATGAAGGATGGATAAGACTTTTGCACATTACTGTAGAAGTGACTCCAAATGTTAAGCAGTCTTCCAGCTTCTCCACAGCAGCCATCGTGGACATTTTTCACAATGTTATGATGCTTATTGCTTACAAATGAAACCAAGAAAAACTAATAAAAATAATTATTATTATTATAAGACTTTGTGTGAATAGCCTTACAATAAGCTATCTTAAAGCAAACACTCACTAAAAGAGAGGAGTGCATTTATTTCTATGGAGAATCCTAAACTTGCTTGGCAACTTAATTTGGAAACAAATGCATCATTTTCCTGTAGTTTGCATATCTTTGCGTACTAGACAGTGGTAGGCCTTAGCTATTTATAACATCACAAACTAGACGCCTATATCAAAATTACAGAGAACCTAGGCAGAGAACTAAAACTGATCCTGAAGTGATCTAGTCTGCCAAACAATATAAAATTTACTAATTTAAATAAATGCCATTGATAAGACTACTATAATAAGTGTTTTTTGTTTTGTTTTTTTAAAGAAAAAGGTATGAACACAGTTTAAACGTACAGGGTGTCAAAAGAAAACTGAGGACTGCAGTAGAAACTGACAAGAGTCCAGCCTGTATGTCATAACTGCTAACACGGATAAGCCGATAATACTGCACTATGGTCATCAGTCAAGTCAAGTCAAATCAGTCAAGTTTCAGGAGGAGAGATGACTCCACTCAGGAAGGAACATGACACGTCACCCAGTGGATCCAATTTGATCTGAGATAAGTATCACCTCACCAAGAAGAGATTGATGTTCAAAGGTTCAGGCTGAGCCATTGACGAATGCAAACCACACAACCTCTGGTCTGCAATTATTATTTAAAAACAAACACATTTCTATTTAAAAGACATTGTTTCCTTTATCTACATCCCGAAATAGCCGCTTCCAACAACAATGCTAAAAAGGCTTTGGAAATGCATGGGAGCAAGACACTCATATCTATGAACAGTTCCTACTACAGAACACACAAGTATGATTAGACAGGAGAAAAATAGAATTTTAAAGCTGAAAACCCAAAGACAAACAATATGGCAATCTGACACAGCAGTAGATGGCTCATTTATATTTGAATGCTTAATTAACAAAAAGCAACAATGGACGGAGAAATGCCAAATGGGAAGTCAGAATGAGTGGGACTTACTTCTGAACTGGAGTGGCTTTATTCTGTTTCCAGACCAGGTACACCGAATCAGCTAATTACTTAATGGTGCATTCAGGAATACCTGGGAAGACTGAGATATTAGCCACAGGCAGGGGCTTTCACAGATTCTGATACATCCTTCAAGTTATTTTTGTTGTTGTTGCAACTGTTGTATAGTATCTCCTCTAACAATACCACATTAAAAAAAAGACTGCAGCCACGTTTCTACTTTTTGACACTCGAGGTGGCAGGTATCCACTGGGTGTAAGGTGAACTGAAGTCAACCATCTTATCATAAAAAGAAGGAAGGAAAAAAAAAAAAAAAAAAAAAAAAAAAAGAGTGTGATGTAGTGAAGTCCAGTATCATGGAACCATTGTGGTGCAAAACAATCGCTAATGAACAGTCATATGAATAAAGTTGTTCATAAATTTGTCTGTAAATCTATAGAACTGTAATTTGTCCTTAAAGTTTTGCAATGTCATCTAAGTAGCACTGAGTTGCAATGTGGACTATATGACACAAAGTGGTTTCAATATTTTCATGGCAGGTTTCTTGCACAACGAGCACATAACAGATCATATGTACTCTTTGCTTCTGTAAAAAATAATAAATGAAACAAACAGACTCTTGACATCCATTTATAAGTAACTGAGCATGAATGAAAGGCTTGTGTGAGTTATAACAAGGACAGGTTTGTAGCTGCTTTTATCAGAGAGAATGTGCATGCACATGTCTGCTTTTTGCATAAATGGCATTCAACAGGCGTTTCTCTTCTGGGCAAACCAGTTATAGGTACAGATTCCAAAGAAGCGTGGGACACTAGTGTCAGCAGAGATAAAGGCTGTGAACGGGCCCCAGCCACCAAAAGTAACAGAGTGAATGTTTAGCTTTAATGTCTGCAAAATGTAGTGTAGAAACTAGGATTTGATCTAGCACTCAATACAGGCCATTTACATTTTATTTAAACTTGTTTAGCTCAAAGGAACTCCTGCCATTAAGGGAGAGCCATCAGCTGATACTTTGCACAGTTATTTAAACAGGTTCTCTTCAAGTCAAGCACAGACTTAGTCAAAGGTTTAATTAAAGTTTCCTCTCAAACCTTAAAGTAAACAGCGCAAGCCTCTAATTCTGCACCAGTGAAGCAGCTCTGAACTCTTGTTCTGTCTCTTTGTGGCTAGTAGGGCATGCAAGCACTTAACTTTTTAATCTAACAAATTTTGCTCCCCTTTTACGCAGTGTTAAAGCAAACTGCGAAAACTGGGCCTATCTTTGTATCTCAGGGTCAGAGTTCTCAGAATTCTAGTGTGCAGCGTCGTTAAAGATTAACTTCTGCGTCAGCTGACTTCTCAGAAACACTGCTTATTTTAAAATCAAGGGGCGGGCTGTTGCTATGAGGAAGTAGAGCAACTTAACCAATACCATCTTTGCCAGGTCCTCAGGCTCATGTTTCAAAATTGCAAAAGAAACACTTGAGCAACTGAAATGGGTTGGACTTGAAACCAAAACTTTTCTGAAGTTTACTTTTGAATATCTCTGATGGGAGTTAAGGCAGACTGCCTTATCAGAGGCACTATAAAACAAAAACCTAATGAGCTGCAGACCAAAATCACTAGTTTTAAATGTCAAAGGGGGGTATATTGACTGATATCCAGAAGAGTTCTGCAGTCTGAGTAAAGACAGATTAGACCCAACCATTTTATCTCTCTGCGTGGGTAGTTTCTGTGATGGTATGTGCAGACAAAGGTTTCTAAACCACTCCTCAAACTATCCCACGAAAGGAATTCAAGCTGATGTGTTGGAGTGAGCTTTTTCAGTTTACAGCTTCACTATTGTATCTGAACGTAACTAATGCAGCTGGAAAATTAAAAAGTTTAAGAAAAAACAGAAAAAGGTATATTGTGAGACTGTCACAGAATTCATCTTACAGCTTCCCTTTGCTGCAACTGACCACCTATCCCAGTGTATAAACCACAATGACTTTGAAATTTGCAAGCACAACACCCATTTCAGCAACCGTTTCATTTTCAGTTCAATACAAAATCTTTGTTTCTACATTTGTCTAAATTACTGGCATTTTCAGAATTGGTTTGCCAATATGTAGTGACAGTGTGCTTCCCTCTTTTTGTGCACACCACTTTTGCTCTTTTATATCGGATCTTCCACTTCTTACCGCTGGAAAACAGCTTTAGTCCTTCAGAAGGAGAAATAAACACACACACACACACTCACTCTTCCTAGTTACCAGTCTCAAGGTTGTTTAAAGATTGTGTGCTTCACACTGCAGAGCTTTTTCTGCATACCCAGTCCATTCGGGTATTGCGCAAACTTCCCTATTGTCTACCAGTCTGTTCTTCACTGTTAACTACAGGGGTAACCTGGGTGGTAGATAACATTAGCCACAGGAGAAGACTAGGGTAGGCCTGCTGTGGATCATCACCATGGCGAGACACTCCATTTCTTCCTGAGACCTGAGTGAGTGTTTGTTCTGTAACCCGAGACAACAGGAGGATCTGAACAAACATGGGTGAAGCCACGCATCAGGATTGCTTTCAACAAAACAGCAGCAGAACACCGTAGAAGTCAAGTGTACTTTAGAAACCTCCTGGATGGCAAAGACTTTAAAGATGTGTGCAGTTAAAAGACAAACTGGAATAAACTGCATCAACGCATGAAAATATACCCAGACATTAAAAATGCAAAGACCCAATCAAATGTGCCATATGTGATAAGTCACTAGTCTCTAGGTAGCTAAAAACACAGGAAGTAGACAATGTTATGTAATTTCAGGATGTTATGAACTCCTTTAGCCTAGTTTCACAATCTGCTTGTTGAATTCAGTTATTGTGCACCAGCTCTTTGCAGATAATTTGCTACAGACGCACCTAGAAGTGCGGATGCAGCTGAGCACTTAGTGTGAGGAAGGTGCTGCTGCAGCCTAAAACTTCTAGGAAATGGCAGCCATTGTGCTGCATTTGGGTTGTGGTGTGACTGTATAAAGGCCAACAAATGTGTAGGTGTCAACTTTACTGCACAGGCCTAAATAAGCAGCATTAGAACTAACGAGCATAGATTTAACCAACTTCCTGCTTTTGCGAATTTCCTTTTTAAGCAAAGAGTGTGAAAAGGCCAAACTATGTAAATTAAATATCTTTAATTGATCTGTACAGGGTTGTAGCTTACAGCTGGATCATAGACTGCTTTCTGTTCAAGCACATAGCCTCAGCCTCCCCCCATCCCCCCCAACTGTTCTTAGTCCTTGTTCAGCTTTTCAACAGATTCAAAATTTCCAGAATCCTTTTACAGTCAAAAGTCCATGTTGTTGGTCTTGTCTCCTAGTACAGTTCCAGCATTTTCATAATCAGGAAGTACTGCCACTCATGAAAATCCACCTCCTCCAGCACTCTTGACTTCAGATATCCTCAAAAGATTGTAGAAGATCTGAATGGATTTTGGAAACTGGAATCATGCAGGTTTCGCTTCCTAGTTTTGATCTGGGTCATTCTTACAAACCACTGCCACCAAAGCATTATACAACAAAATATAGTGAGTAAACAATCATTTAAAAAAGACTAGCAAAAAAGGAAAAAAAATGTCTTTTTCCTTTTTATTATGACATCTTTTAGCAAAAATAGACTTCTGAATTAAATAATGTATTTCTGAAACATTTTTTCCTTTTGTCCATTCCACCTCCCGAAAGCGGTTTGAAAAGGTGTCCAATGGGAAAGGAAAAAAAAAAGAAAAAAAGAAAAGAAAAAAAAAAAAGGTTGCTGCTCAGTGTCCACCAAATTCACCTGATCAACAGGGCCAGTGTTGCCCCAATACCAGCAAATCCAGCAAAGGCCATGAGCGTGTGCCTGACTATCGACTCAGGGTCTGCTACTCGAAAGAACTCCACAAAGCCATCCTGGAAAGGTGAAAGAAAGATGGGGTAAGAAAGAGGCAGATTATGTTCACTGGGCACAAAATACTTTCTGGGACAATAAAAGGAAGTTATGCAGTTATTTTTCCCCAATCATGTCACTACTCACCCATGCATTGTTTTTTACAATCCAGTCTCGCTGTTCAGACAGCAGGTATGCAGAAATCTCTTGGCTCACTAGCGCCACGTAGTTGTCCCTGCCCTTTTCCTTCAGGTGCTGAGAGACCACTGCCCCGAAGGCCATAAAGCTGACAATACGACCCCAGTTGGTCGTGTGGTCTCCAAAGAGGCTCTTCGCTACAGCACCGACAAATGACATATCCTCGTCTCTTTCATCCAATGACAATTTATTAATCATTCCTGCGAAAAGAAAATTAGACTAGATCAGAAAATCGAAGTCACTTATTTTAAGTCGAAGTTTAGTGAAATGTGTAAATTGTATTTTAGTATATTAGCAGTTTGGTCTCGGTTTAAAAATTGCAAGCTTGTGGTGACTTGAAGCAGTTAAAAGGCAGCCTGTGAGTGAAGCAGACAAACGCTCTGAAAGGTCTTTGTGCAAAATCCGCACAGACTGGTTTCAACTTACCGTTGTAAGCGTATCTGTGCTTTTCTAATACGTCCGCAACAACTCTTTTCATCGTCTTTAGTGCTTTGGTTTCTTTTCGTTGAGGCTGAGAAAGTCCAGTAAAGTCACCCAAAAAACTGTGAATAAGGAGTTTCGTTTCTCTCTCCAGCTGCTCGTCGGATTCACTGTCCGAATGAAACTCCGGGGTGCTCGGCAACGAACCGTCTTCCTCCCGGTCCCGGATAGCTTTTGTTTTATACCCGTTTGTTGAGGTTACCTCGAGGTTGTCCGGCCGTTTGGGGGTACCATTGGACACAATCCCGTTGCTAGAGTCTTTAGAGGAGCCTGTGGCGTTCTGCGGAGAGGAATTTCCCGATCCGTAGTGCATTGGTCCCTCCAAGACTCCATTTTGAGGAATAAGATATTCCATTAAGGTGCACTGGTTCCTTTTCAACATCATATAGTTGGCCATCTTGTTAACTTCAAACGAACACCAAACTGTTACACGAAAAATACTTCGACAAGAAAATCGGCGTTAGGCTATATTTGACAAAAAGCTAGCTTCTTGCCTAACGCTTCATCTCTGGCATTTTCTCTCGAGCGGAAGTAACGCACTGAAAAACGGTTGAGTCCGCCTTTTATAGTCCTCTCTGACGCACGACGTAGGCGTGGAAAAATTTCCAGTTTAAACCGTGTTAGGCATTGTCATAAACACTCCCAAAATTAATTCTAAAAATTTATAATAACAATACAACTGAAAACACGCACAGAGGTTATAATTAAAACTCTGTTGTTATGTCCTCATTATTAATTATTTTCCTACGCTTGGCAACATAACAACAAAAATAATAATAATGATAAAGCAAAGTAAAATATTTTAAACTCAAAGCAAAACACAATTTAATTTAACTAATAATAATAAAGTAGTTTAAGACTTTATGGTTAAAATATAATGTTAAAATTATAGTGTATTGGATTATCTTCTGACAGATGTGTTGCACTGTAGAGGGACATTCACCTAGGTAGGAAGTGACACCATTACACTCCTTTGATATCACTCCAACACTAATCTACCAATAAAGGAGTATAGGAAACCATCATCTTAAATCTCCGAGCTCCATAATGTGCCATTGATTTACAACAACCCTATCCTCACATAAGCAGAAGTGCATTTGATCTATGACAGAATGCCAATGTTGACACATTTCCTTAAGTTAAAGAACTGTCTTTGCTTTGCCAATGTCAAAATATATCCTAATTAGTAGCTTTCATCACCTTTCATGTTATATGCTGGTATAACAGAAATACCTAGAATTTTCCATCCTGGCTCGTCTCTCACACCTGCATGATTATGCCTCCCCCTAGTGGTAAATGAAAGCTTGCGCCTCCTATGCGTTTGTGTGTCTGAGAATGCTTCTTCCTTCTTCTGTTTTTTTTTAAACCCAGAACATTCCGGGTTTTGCGCCTCATTCCAAGATTTCTTCTGTTGACCATGCAAGAAATCTTAGGATTTAATCAGCAGCTAATTCATCTGTTTAACATGTAACAAGGATGAACAACTGAACTCATAAAACAAAACCCCACAAAAGCACCTTATTAATGTAAAAGTTTATTTCAAATACTGACAAAAATCCTCTCACCTACTTCCACACAACTTAAACATTCCAAGTACCCTTGTACTTCTGAAGTCTTAAAATCATTCCTGTATTCTCCAGTCATCCTGTTTATCATGTAAACCCTTTTTTTTCTTGGAAGCAAGGGTGCATCTGATTTCCCTGCAGTCTTGGGCCAGGATGAAATATACTAATTATGCATTAAGAGAACACAAGAAAAAAAATATTACTTGCAAAACAAGAAAACAGATAAGGTAAAAGCAGCACAAAAGTACTTCAGAGCACACAGCCTGTTAATTATTTTATACATTCTGGCACATATTTATCATAGCTGAACAAGAGACACCCTGTGTGTTGGGTATGAAACCTACCCGCTATTTCCTCTTGTTGCACTGCTCCTTGCAAAGCCAAACATCAAGTAGCATTCAAGAACATCTCTCCACTGTTGTTTCATAACATCACAGCATATTAACCTTTTCTTTATTTAACCTGGGCTTACTTCTTGAAGCAGAAAGAATGTAGGCTTTTTAAACACAACACAATAGTCTGTTCTTATCAAAGTGACAAAGCAGTTCAGAATTTTAAGATCTGGCTAGACCACACATTTGTTCCAAACCAACGATGCATTTATTTTTTGGAATCTGCACTTAAGTTGAAGTTTAACATAGTTAACATGTAACCAGTTTTTGCCACAGGAGCTTTATGACTCTTGAAGTGAGATGCTTAAAGAGTCAGACTGGCAGAATCAAGAGGACAGATGTTCTTTACAGGGTATGCTCTCTTAGATTTGTCATTGACTGAATCAGCAGCATTTACACATATTTCCATTTGATACAGATTCACATAGCCTCTGCGATACAATAAGATACAGCAGAAGTAGTGTTAAACAGAAAGGAGAGAGGAACCATTGAATCAGAAATAGCTTGGGCTATGAAAGAGTGGAACGCAAGTGGGAAACAACAAAAATAATTTCCTGTTTAAGTCTATTTACAACAGCTGGAACAGAGAAAAGCAGTGCATTCATACACCACCACAACAACAAGCATATATGCACAAGTCAGTCCTCTTTCACCCACTGCAACTTTGACACATTTTAAAGTCTCATTGAAAAATAAGTGAGGTCGAGAACGTGATGGTGCATGCACCCTGTTACCTAGCCTACGTGGTGGAGTGTGCGTTTGTGAAGGTTCCCTGAAGCAGTAATTTACACTGATTCTCAGTGAGTGCCGGCATCCAGTTCAGATTCTTGACTGTGCGAAGGGCGCACATTCAAAGTCTAGAGATTTAGCGATCGTTCCATTGACCTGTTTCAGAAGCTGAATCACGATAACAGGTGGGATTACCCCCTCACCATGTGTTATAAAATCTCTCTCTGCTTCGCAAGTGTTGGCGCTCCTGCAGATATGCCCTGTTCCACTTTAAGCCCGTGATGATGCGTTATAGAGCTGCACTTATCAGGTTGCCTGTCGTTTACCCTCTAACACCCCTGAGATCAAACATCCATATGAGTAGTGTGAGTTTTGGAGAGAATAAACTTCTACGACGTGCCGGTAGTAATGTAGGGCAATACTCCAGCTGAGATTTTAGTGAAGTAGTTGAACTTTTTTTAAACTAAGGTTAGTGTTTCATTATGTGAACTGCAGTGAAAGGAGGTCAGCTGTTAAGGGAACCACTATGACATACTGTTCATTCTTAAGTATTAAAACATTCTCTTACATGAAATTAGAAATCACTGTCAGAATTAGGCTTTTTTTCATAGTCAACCCTTAAATACTAAAAAAAATGTACTTTACATATGGCCTTGAAAGACACAAGTATGACTGCAACGACTCTGGGTACTTTTTGTCATCTCAATGAGACTTTTGTGGCTGGATACAAAACCTTTAGAAGTGCTTGCATCAGTGCTTCAAAAATAGCCAGAAAGATATGTGGAAGCCACATCACTCCTTACATCTCTAGCCAGATCAGTGTGGGCTCAAAGCTGCCTCATCACATTGCAATGTAAGCAGGATGATTGGATAGTAACAGTCACATTGAAAAGACAAGTGTATCCACAGCCTCTGGGCTTGCAATGTGGAATTCGGCTCAGTTGTTAAAGCAAAGAATATCCAAGCCAGAAATCCTAGGGTGTAATCCCAACTGAGTTGATTTAGCACTACCATTTCTCTCAGGCATGCTAGCCGGTTCAGTCCTTAAAGCGCTAAGCTTATCACGAGTTACGTGCTTGTTTGAGTATTATTTACAGAAGCATATACACTATGCAGGGTGCTTCCCCCCCAACAAATCTTTTAGGCTCATAGTTAGCACATATCTTGATGCATCTCAACAGCAACCACACAAAGGCTGAGCTCATAGGCTGGCAGGGTTCCCAGCCTTTAAAAATAATACCAGGATATACTCAACTGGCTCCCACCCTGGGCAGCAAACAGGAGCGTGTGTACATGGATTGTCAGAATAGCATAAAGCAAAGCAAGTAAAGAAGTGTGACTGTGGACATTTCAGGACTTTAGGTGGTTGTTTTGATCACTTACTAAGCAGCTGCTCCACTCCTGTTACAAAAGCATGTTAATTTTCTTTTTTTTTTTTGTTACATATTACAAACATGCAGCCATGTTTTTTTTAAATGAGAGAACCAGGAGCAAAAGGTGTAGGAAATAAAAGCAACAGAAGCACACAGACAGAGAAAAAAGTGTTTCAAATCCCTGCCTGGATGAGCTGCAGCAGTTGTCGTCAGATTATATTTGACTGAAGTGACTGAAGGGGTGAGATGCAAGGAAACTTCCACTCATTTCCCAATAGGGTGTTAGTGAATGCCAAGTATCCCTTAAGCTGCCCCTCACAGATTTGGTAAGCAAGCAATTATTCACATATATCTTCCAAACCCTCCCGCTGAAGCTAGCTACCAGCATAGAAAGGGAAGATGAAGCTCAAAGAACACATTGTGATCATGGTTCCTAACTCCCGTACACACATTATTTTGGTGTCATTCAGGATGCAAAAATGAAAAAAAAAAAAATACTATACAGAATACAAAGTGCATTAACTCATCCCATCCAACCCCTGCCCGATGACACACACACCTACTGTAATGCATCTTGGAACACTGAAAACCAAGATATAAGGGAGGCGGTAGCGCAGAGTGCACAGAGGGGGCAGAGCTGTGCGTTGTGGGAAGGCAGAGAAGGCTGTGACCTTGTGGGCCGCCTAAACCTCCGTCCCTCCCATCCCGCCCCACCCACATATAAGCAAATGGAGTTTTAACTTATACAACTCTGCCCGATATGTTAAAGCCAGTGGTGCCTGGGGATGTAAAAGGAAGAGAGGGGAGTGGATGGACATATTGGGGACACAGGTGAAGTGGAGGAGGGATGCTTGCTGGGAATCCCGGGGGGTAAGGGGGGGAGGGTGCTTCTTGAATGACGAAGGCTAGCCAGCTAGCTTGCTGGTCACCAAGGAGGACTTCCTCTGGGGTAGATCTTGTGGCGTGGGAATGTGGTCACCAGTTACCAGATTCTTGTCAGGCCCTGCCACAGGAAGCTGTTTGTTCTTCATCTTGGCCTTGGCCATGTTGTAGTCACCCGAATCAAAGTACTTTTGCTGCGTGAAAAGAGAGAGCAGAGGTGCTACAAAGTTTAGCGACATGCTAAATACTGAGAACAGTGCTTACATATTTGTACAAAGGGTTATTGCTGATTGCACTAGTGCTATAGAAAACTTTCCAAATGTATTCCTTTGTAACAGATGGAGGAAAATTCATACTCATCTTTAGCAGCCTGAGTTTAACTACCATATTTTTTTAATGCTGAACACCACAATCATACCCATAAACCAGAACAGCTTTAAAAACAGGTTTTGTGTGTGCCTAATCAAATTTGAAACAATGCTAACTGAATGTAGCTTTAAGACCCAGCCTCATCATCTTCTACCTCCTTCCAAATTGCCTTTTATAAAATGAGGATACAGTCACCATATAAGCTGTAATCATTATAAAGCATGCTTTGCATTTCCTTCTATAATATTGTTCCTTACTATAAATTTAACAGTGTTCAGTTTAACAGCTAAAGAGAACTAGAACCAGCACAATAACAAATATGTCGATAGTGCTCACACATCAGAGAAGATACCACAGGGGTAATGCTATTCTCTTTAATCAAATCACATGCTTATGTTTCAACATTTAAAAAATGTAAGTATGAGATTACCTACCTCCTCAGTCTCTGATAGTGTTTATTATCTTATGATAAAATGCTTTTCCCTCTGAATGTCTTGGCTACTCCTACTCCTACCCAGTGATTTAGCATGTTTCCCAGAATGACTTTCAACAACCTCTAGAGGTGGAAGCATATAGAGCATGTGTAGGTGGAGAGAGACATACAATTTTAAATCCGGGAAAAGTGAGATTGGAGTTAAAGTTTCCTTTGGGTGCTCTGTTCTGCAGTTCAAAATACAAATTAAAGTTACTCTGTCACACAAGCTGTACTGCACGTGCCATCTATCTAGCAGCTTTGTATTCCAGTCTATTGAGGATGGAGAAATTATTTTTCTCTTCGTTTCAATTAATTTACCCTTGTAGCACTGATGAATCAACAACTCAATGGTGGTTCTAGGTAGAGCCTTGATTCTTTGGTTTCTAAGGTGAGCATAAACTTTATCAGTTAGGTTTTTAGATCGCTGATATCTTTATTAAAAATTAAAGATATGTTCACTGCAATTACATTCAAATTGTTCGTTGTTCAATAATAGTAACAGCAGCTTGACCATACCAAAACAACAGCTATCCTTTTTCAATTTTATGTGGGGTGCAGGTGTTTAATGACTTGTTTTCTGAGAAGCTCTCATTAACGCACAGTCCTGTTTTTCCACTGCTGTTGCGGCTGCTGCTGTCTCTGATCGCATCATAGGCAAACTATAGTAACTCACTCCTTTTTGTAGTCTCTTCATCAGGAAGTCTGACCCACCGGGTCTCTGGCCCAGACCAGGATATTTGGCCTTCAGCTTCGCCTCTTCTGCTTTAACTGGGTTTGCATTTTTCTCTTGAGAGTCCTGTAGAGACAAAAAAAAGGTTTAACCCTCTTGTTTTGCAGAAAAACAGGGATTCTTTAAAATGTCGGTGGATGCAGCTTCAGAAAAGTTCACAACTAGAACAGCTGGTCATGTGATAGCCACTCACTTCTGGCCACCCTGCAATTCTACAACTTTTTCCACAAAGACTACAAGTTTACTGTGGAGCACAGGACCAGTACTAGGGCTGAACGATATACCGCATTTGCGGTATATCGTTCCATATCCCAGAATTCATAGCGCGGCCCAGCCAAACTCCAGTTTCCAGCAATGGCGGCCGCTACTAAGTTTTAAAATTACTCATACTAATCTTTCTGGGTCACAAAATAAACTTTTAACATATTTTCAGGCGAGAAAGTAGCTGTGTAAACATCAAATATCTGCTCGGTTTATCAAGATATCCCATATTTGCAAAAGTGCTTCGACGTTTTCAGAGGCGTCTGCTACCCACCAGCTCGACAGCTAGCCGGGAGCTCGAGGGTTACTGATGCGGCCGAGAACGGCACAACTCCCGGCACATCATTTTCAGATCACCGCGGAGTTTCGCTGCTCGGGTTAAACGTAATATATAAGTCACTTAGACAACCTAAAAATGTTATTGTTGGGCTTTTTTCAGTGTTTTGTTTGTTCGTGAGTAAATCGGTTTGGCTGAGATTAAAGTTATTAGATTAGATAAAATAAAACTTTATTAATCCCCCGGGTGGGTTCCTCCTTGGTTTTCACACAGCTGACTAAACGTCAAACAGAAAACTTATTAAACAGAAGTATGAGACAGTCGAGAATTTACACCAGTGTCTGGTTATATTTTAGATAGCAAGAAGCAGACGGCCGAGTTTATTAAACTCCACCGAGACAGCGGTGACGCTAATCAGAACTAGACCGTCCAATTTCACGCCTTTAAATTTTAAAGGCGTGTTTGTGTGTGTGTTTATACAATTGCTATTATGTTTGCACTTTATGTGTAATGTTACTGACTGCAGAGATCAGTAAGATGTGTGTATTTTTTATTTATTAGTTTTATTTATTTAATATTATTTTTTAATTGAATGACTGTCTAGTAGTTCACAGATGTCGAAAAACTGAGTGTGGTAAAGCCACTGATTTTTTTAATGTATATTTCTGCAATCTGCACATTGTACTGACTTTCATTTTAATGTTTACACCAGGGTTCCTTGTCAGCACTTTATGCTCAGATGTTTGTAAGCTAAAAATAAACTATTGTGTATGTTCAAATATACTGTTGTGATTGAAGAAGTTAAATAAAAATGTCAGTCATCAATTCATGCATCACCTCATGTCATCATAACAGAGGTCTGTCTTCCAGGAAAGAACAGTTTAAAATTAATGTAATATAGTATTGGCCATACTATATGATGTATTGCTTGTCTTTGTTTAATAATACAGAAGACAAAGACCTTAAAAAATAATCGCATATCGCATCGCAATCGCAATATTGGGGCAAAAAATCGCAATTAGATTATTTTCCATAATCGTTCAGCCCTAACCAGTACATTAAAAACACCTAAAAGTAATGCTGTGAAAGGGATTCAAAAGCATGACAGTGACTAGCGGAAACTTTATATACTCCATGATAGCATGAGTCACAGCATGACTGTCCTCCTCTTACAGTCTCTCATAACACCATAATGCCTGAGAGGAAACTTGGTACGACCAGGGACCTTAAGAACGAATGCTGAATGATTTTAGAAGCTTATGATAGTAACAAACAACTAAAGCTCTATTGGAAAGTTGTGTTGCTAAAGATCTTGTGACCAAAATATTGTTTATGCATATATTAAAAATAAAACTAGAATGTATAAAGCTGAAATCTCAAAATTACTATAAAACTAAACGCTGTAACAGAGTCCATTATTCATAGTAACTGAATTCTGCAACTTTCCATTTTTTAAACAAGACACAAAATCTATGCTATTAATTGCTAAATCCTATTGTGATCTTGTGCTCAACTGTGTTTCTGGTAATAGTAACTACTATGTTATGTAGTCATACATTTAGAGAAAATCTGAAAATTTGGGTCAAGAAATAACAACATGACCGGGCTGTCCAAACAATGCTAGGCTTAGATTGCTGAAACCTACAGTGGGAATTCTGAAACAATGGAAGGGCTTGTGCTGATGCCTCTGCCGAATACTAGTAAAACTAGTCAGACATTGCCATTCAAGTACCCGACAGGTAGATACTGAAGCTACTAATCTGGGGCACCACCCTGTGCACACAGCAGGAGTCAAGCGCTTGACTCCATGTTAAAACTATTTCAGAAAACAGGCTAGTGCAAGAATATAATGGACAAACTCCAAAGGGCATTTAGACATTCCTTATAAACACACCTCAAGTGAGCTGCACAGCATAGACCTACTTCCACTATAGAGACAAGATAGGGCACTCAGCCTATAAAGCTTGCTGGGGCAGGGATAAAATGTGACCCAGGACACAGAAGCCGATGAACAGATTCCCTTGGGGGGGTGGGGGTGGAGGAGGTGTTGCACAGAGTGTGCTGATTCACTTGGGTCCATGAAGAGAAATTTATGAGGTACTATATTTGGTTTTGATGCAGGGAAACTGCAGATTCCAACACAGTCTTTGTGTACACAGTGGAACTGGGGAATATTTAGTTATACTGTAACTAGATATTCCCCTCAGGAAGGACTGTCTTTTTTTGTTCACTTAAAGCAACAGACAGGGTTAAAAGTCCTGTTTATAAGGTTTGGTGTCGCCATACGAAGAGATGAAATATTAAAATAATATTTCCTTTTGTGGCATCAGCTTAATTCACACAGAATCTCAGTAACAAAAACTCATGATTCAAATTGAGTTATGACAATATCAACAGTCATAAAGCAACATCTGTCACTGCAATACAAACAATTTCTATTCCCTTCAACTTTATGATTAGTAGGGCATGAACAGTAATGCACGGTTATAAACAGAAATCAACAAGTTTGCCAAGCAAAGTCTGAATTTTTAACTTCCTACCTTGTAAAGGCTGGGCAACGTTTAGTTTCCACTTTTCATTATTTTTCTCGTATTGAGTAACGCAATTTAGATATGTGAATAATAAAAACAAAGTTAAAAGTACTTAAAATGAGAAAACTAGACTTTACATTATAACCTTTGCTTTATAGTGTTAGGACTGAACATCTTTCTTGTAAAGATAATAGATACTGACATTAATGTTCGCATCCACCACGGGTGTTTATCTTGTTACTTCTGCCCCACTGTTGGTACAGTGTAAATAAACTTAACGAGTGTCAACACTAATCTAACACATACTGACATAAGAATGTTTGGCAAACCCTCGATCCTAATAATGGACTACATGGCATCGCTGCTGTGCTTATGGCATAGTATGGAAATGCGGAAGCACTGCAGCTGGTTGTCACAGTCAGTGCAAGACCACCAGGAATCCAGAAACTGCTAGCCATTCAGGAAAGACATTTTTCTATTCGACATTAGCGCAGTTATCTTTACTTACTCAGTGTGCACTGAGTGAAATTACCCAGTCATGCCTTTATCTGGAGACCGCAGGCCACACATTTAGTGTGTAAACCCCCCCTCGGGTACAGACCAATGAGGCCTGAGCTGCTGTGGACTCGCCAGCCAATGACACCAAGCAAGGGACAAAACAAAGTGACACACAAGCAAGGTGCTTCTATGCTATGGCAGCTACAACTAAACCACTTCCATTATACAGAGCAGCTCATATCGGCTGTACGCCTCTTCCAGGTCTTCCCCGGTGCATTGGTGCAGCGCTAAGCTTACTGCAAACACTTATGCTAACTGATGCTAGCCACTGCTTAGTTAGCATGCTCTGAGGTTAGCTAACAACATCAAGATAGCAGGCAGAAACCCACCTGTTTTTCGTCCTCGTAGTCCACCTGAGTATCCGAGTCCAGGTTTTCTGACGACATTTTGTGAGTGTGGAGGACACGCAGGTGTCTCGTCGGTTGCTGGACCAACTCAAAGAGATGATTATTCAAGGTACCGTTTTGTGTACCTGTACTGAATCTAATCCTGCTTTTCTGAACACGACTGCTCTCCAACAAAAATGGCGTAACGACATATGACATCACCGTTAGGGCCGGCGTTTCCCTTGTAACTAACAAATACAGTAACCAATAGAAGTGGAGTAATAGCCCTCACGAAGCCAATAAGATTACGTTGAATGTGTCCCGGCTGTGATTGACAACCGGTTGGCCAATGAAATTACAAAGTGAAGACGGAGGCGATGCGGGGGCCGCGCTGCATCAACACAAATCACCACAAAAACATATTTGGGGTAAAACGTTAGTTTTCAGTTAACGTTTGACATATCAAATCAAAGTTATAACAATAAAAAAACAAAACAAAAAGCGGTAGACAAAAGGCTCTGAAGCCCTCTTTGTTTTGAGTTTTTATCTCCCTACTCTGTGATTGGCTCCCTGGTGGTGAACCTGTTGCTGCCATTGATTTCTACAGGTTGCTGCCCGTTAAACATTTAGCGGGAACCTTTATAATAGCTAACACCAAAAGGTTAGCTTTTATTTCCTAGTTCCCCAGAACGACTGTACCGTGTGTTTCTGGTTATTGTTCCCATGTAATTACAAGAGCATAATCTATAGAATAACTTCACGGTAGGTCAAAGTAGTGTGCTAGAGACAAGTTAAGTAGAGGGCTACATCAGCTAGAAACTAGAAGGTCAGCTAGCTAGTTGCGATTTACAGTAAGTACAGTTTTCTGAGTAGACTCCTATCTGTCCTCAAATTTTCTCTCTTTGCTTTGCTTTTTTTATTTTTTTTATTTTGTTGTTATTTTTCACCAAAGGTATGGCGTGTGCACAGCAAGTGAGAACATCACAGGTAGAATACATTACTCATATGATTTTATTGTGATGTAATCCTGCAAACACTAAATTGCTTAGCTAGCAGGCAGTTTCCTTTTTTTTCTTTTTTTTCCAACGGCAGTTTTTAGTTTTGTAAAAAGTAGTTATTGTATTAACAATGGATCACTATTAGTGCAAGAGCCAAGGCGTCAACATTATTGAAATAATGTGGAATCACCTGCAGTAGCAGTGTGTTTGGGATTATTGTTATGCTGAAAGATAAGACAGAAACACAACACAGTATATTAACTTAGTAATAAAAAAGAAGAAGAAGAAGTGTATGTGTATTGCACACTGTTATTATTGCAACTTGTTATAAATATAAATATTGTTATTGTTATTGTTATTGTTTTTACCGTTGTTACCTCCCCCCCAAAAAAGTCCAGGGAGGTAGCCAATCAGGTCAGCTATTTGCATTGATTAGGGCTATTGCCCTCTTGTAAAAACTGTCCTTGAGTCTGTGTGCTGTGGTGTAGCTGGAGAACCATACAACAATGCAATATGTCAGCACACTTTCAATGGAGCAGCGGTAGAAGACGGTCAGCAGCTCCTTCTTCAGGTCCATTTTTCTGAGGATTCTCAGAAAAATGAACCTGTTGTCAATCAGATGCTTTCCAGCTGCTACTGCATGGTGGATCAAATCGAATGTTACTTTTTTTGCATTCATAATTACACTTTTGACAAGCTATCCAGCATCACTGACCCCAATCCATAACAGAGCCTCCACTGTGTTTTACGGATGGCTGTAGACACTCAGTGCCGTACCTCTCTCCTGACCTCTGTACATATTAATGTTGATTTGCAACAACATTTTCATATTTGGATTAATAATTTCATTTGAACTGTTATCACTAATCTTCAGTCCAATTCTTTTGTAATGTGGCATACCTCAGCCTTTTCTTGCTATTTCAGTCCGTAAGAATGGCTTCTTAAAAGCCACTATTCTAGTGAGACTATTTCTGATGAGACTTAAGACTTTTAAAGGACATGGTACAGATACTGAAAGCCAATAAAACTGCTGTAGATAGCTTTTAAGGCTTGCCACCTTTGTCCATCACTTTTCCAGTTTTCTAAGATTTCATTGTAACATCACACGGCACACTATGCTGAGATATGAGATATACTAACAGTAGAGTCACTTGGTTTGTGATAAAAGTATTGTTTGTCATGCATGTTTCATAAGTAATTATTTAAGTTGCATCATGGGTGAAATAACATCAGTGATTTTTTTTCCAAATATCAACAGACTTACACAGAAACAAATTGTGACGAATAAAGCTTTGATTGATTGATTGATTGATTGATTGATATTGAGGTCCACAAAGATTAGAAAAATTCTGTTTGTGTATGTATTAAATAAGGTGCTATAGCTGAAACGCAGCTGTTGGAGGGCAGGATTTCTAATAATTGTGTTACCTGTCATGACTAAGCAGTGCTGAGTCTGATTAATTTGTTTCACTCATACAGAGCACTCAGCTGTTTCCTAATCAGATTGCCTCGGAGCAGCAGTCATTGGTTGTTATGAAGAAGCTTCTGGCCATTGCAGTATCTGGCATCACATACCTCAGGGGCATTTTCCCGGGGAAAGCCTATGGGAAAAAATATGTGGAAGGTTAGATTACATATGAACCTAATTTGACTGTACATCCTATTAGCTTTCAAGTTCACTTACCTGGAAAAAGTTCCATAGAACATTCACGCGTTCTATTTTTTCTTTTTAGATCAGCAAGTGATGATCCTCAGAGAGGAGCACAGCTGTCCTGGTGCCACTCAGATTCTTCAGTGGTAAATTACAGCAGCTTGACATTTGCTAGCAAGAGCTGTTTATTAGGGTCACTAAAGCCAAATAGACACCATCTTGCGGAGTCATATCAACTGCTCCATTGTGATGTACCAGTTTTGATTTTGTCTTCCAGTGTTATCCCTTTGACAAAATCTGTTCATAGACAAACCCCTACAGAGGTACTTTATGATAGTTCTCGTTTTAGTAGGTGTCACCAGAACTATGTTTTACCATAGGTAGACAAACAGACCTACAAGGTAAAAATAAGACCATCATATCTTTTGTGGTTGGTCAAAAATTGAACTTGATTGAACTTGGTGATGTTGAAATGATATTCTTGATCTGTTTTCATCAAGAAGATATTTACATGCAGTGAACAAATATAATCTAATTAGTGCAACAGACAATTATGCTTCATAAATAAAACGTTCTAGCTCTTAGGGTCATGGAAAATGAGATGAGAAGTATATTGTTATGTTACACTCAACAGTTTCAAGTGTGTAACAGTGTAAATAAGGGACAGGTTGTTGAAGAAATTAGTTTTTTTAAAATTTCTTTTAAATTTACATTACAATTACAATTTTAATTTCCACCAGGATGCAAGGATGTTTTGATGCCATCGAAAAGAAATACGTAAGTCACATTTGACCTTTATCAGTCAGAAGATTTGTAATGTACACATACGTTAGGGGAGATTTAAAAAAATAAATTGTAATTTCCACTTTTTTTTGTATCAGAGCAACTAATGCAGTCAAAATATTGTTTTTTCTTCCTCACCAGCTTCGGACAGTCATTATATCTGTGAGTATTTTGCTAATACTTGAATGTGTGTTCTTGAATAATGACTCTTTGTATTAAAACCATTTAGGGTCAGCCTGGAAAAGCGAGTGTATCTAACACATGAGCAACTAAATGTCGGAAGAGCTGTAAAGTTTTTATATAATTTAGTCTTATATTCTATGCGGTACTGATGTTTGTCCATTTGGCCTTATTTTTTAGATTTATACCGACCCAGAGAACCCACAGGTAAATATCAGGTTATCTTTTTGCAATATTCACTGTTTAACAATTTGAAGGCTGCTCCAGTCTACAGCCTGCATGCCTAAGTATCTATGGGCAAGATACTGAACCTAAGGTTGCTGTCCCATGTGTTCATTGGGGTATGAATGTGTGTGACCGTTAGATGGAAAGAAACTGGTTGTAGAAAAGAGTTCTTGTATTATTGGGTGAATGAGGCACTTTGAGTAGAGTAGAAAAGTGATATATAAGAAGTGGTCCATTTTCCGTTTACTGTCTCCATAGTGATTACCTATAACATCTGGCATGTCGTCTTTTTCAGAAAGTGACCGAGTTTTACCACTTTAGGATCCAGTACTCTGCAGCAGGGGCACACATGGATTTTGAAAGGTGAGGTGTGTTTATGCTTACAGATTACACTCACGTATGAGAAAGTAACTTGAGTTTCTGTTTTAATTGTTACCTAGTCAATCTTTGAATTTGCCTGTCTTTCTTCGGGCCAGAAGTTGCTTGAAAGTTGGAGAAAAGAAGTGAGGAGCTTAAAGAGTTTTATGTATGAGTAAAACTTAAACCCAAGGTGTTATGTCTGTTATTGTGTCAATAAATCGAAGCCTTGAAAGAGTGATTACTATATCATTGTATCAGCACTGGGCTACAACTGAATTAAAGGGTGGAACTCTTAACATCTCTCCAACTGCATCATCTTTGAAATGTGACTTCAGAGTGACTGGCTTATGTTAGACCACCCCAAGAAACTATATACACTTTACCTGCCAGTGTAATGATTGTCTGGCAGAGCAGCTGAAGTAGCGGGCCCTTTTATGCTCATTTTTCTTCTTGCTTGACTTTCTTGATCAGCAATAACAACATCAAAGTCTCATCAATGTCATGTGGAAACACCAGGAAAGCCATCATCCTGCTGGTGAGGAAGCTCTACACTGTGATGCAGTACCTGGGCCCTCTGCCAGAAAATGTCTACCTCAACATGAAGCTGGCTTACTATGACGATGGTAACACTCACATCAAAATTAATGATTTCTGCAGCATTAATTATATAGAACCCACATTTTTTAAGGCTTTGAACATTTTTATTATTATTTTTTTATTAATTCATTATACCAATCACAATAAAGACTCTTAAATACAGTGTTTTAAGTGGTGCTGCTTGATGTCTCATACGTGCCCCAGCTTTGATCTTTTTTGGCAGTTATTCAACAATGGTGATGTGCTTTTCTGTTTTTTGAAAAGTAGACAAAAAGAGATGAAGGTCTGGGTTTAGATGATTCATACGCAGGAAAAACAGCAAATTTTTCAGTGTGGTGTTACGATTTGCATATTTTCCTCAAATGGTGTCCAAGTGGATATTAACATATTAACAACAGTTCATTAACTTTTTTGGTTTTTTTACTGCCACTAAGTTTCTA